CTTGACTGCACCCCTCAGGAAGAAGCTATTATGAACAACCTTCATATAAGGACTAGGGTGTTGAGTACTACCTGCTGGCTGGTAGAGTAGCTCTACAATGATTTGGAAGTAGTTCACATTGTAAATGTCTGTAGTTGTTATTTATTCACTCATTTATGTAATTAAGAACACACCCACATTTATTTTATAATTTGGGTCATATACCAATATTAATTTATGTTTTATTTCAGATTGTTAAATGTTTGGTCATTGTGAACTATTTCAGTTGAATCCTCTCCTTTGAAAAACACCACTAAGACTCTCTCTCTCTCTCTCTCTCTCTCTCTCTGTATGTGTGTTGTGATAGTTATTTATTTGATCATTTTTTATTTTCTACCGTTACTTAACATTCATAGTCACCTTGTGTATTTCCTACCTTCTTTAGAATCTGCCTTTCACCAAAGGATCACTGTTTTGTTTCGTTGGAGAATAAACTGTTTTTTCCACTGTTTTACTCTGCTATTCCAATTGAGCACACATGTATCTTTAAAAGTTATTCGACAGTACTTGTTTTGGGCTTGTTTGTTCCTTTTATTCTCTTCTTTCTTTTTACATTTTTGTTTGGGAAGTTTCTCTTTACCATCTTCATGTTTATCAATTCATTCCTCAGCTCTGCCGTCTACTCATGAGCCCATTGAAGGCAAAAGGCATATCTCATGTCTGCTGTAGGGTTTTCATCTCTAGTGATTCTTTTGTTTTAATTAAAGTTTCCCTATGTCCTTTTGCATTTTCTGTCTTCCTCTACAAGTTAGCTACTGTCCTTGTTTACAATTATTTACATATTATTCCTAGAGTTTTGAATTCCATGTTTGATAATTCCAAAAATACACATTGCATTTCATTTGGGTTCTTGAGACTGCTTTGTCACTTAGGGTCCTAGTTTTTTCTTTATAACATGCCTTATTATTTGTTTTCTATTGAATTAGAGGATCTGAGGCAAATCAGCCATTAGTGTGATTAGTATGAAATATATGTTAATTTTGTGAGGTTCTCAATTATGTTTACTTTTTCTTTACTGTAGTATTGGTTGCAAAAACTTCAAGTTTCCCTTCTCCTGTGCTTTTCCTTCCGCTTTGGTTTTGGACTCCCTTATCTGCCATCCTTAAAGCCCTGTATGTTGTTCCTTAGTGTACTGTAGCTCCTTTACCTGTACGCTGGGTTTTGATACTCTTCTGTGCGTGTGACAATTCAGTATAAGAGACCAGAACACAGAAAAAAAATATTCTAATTAATTTACAACTTTTAGTGAATCATTGTCTGGACCCTGTGACCTTCAAAAATGTTGTTCTAATGATAATGACCTTTTTACTCTGCACATCCTCTCTTCTTTTGCTTCAGCATTCCAAATCCATTTTGTGTAGGCCTTGGTCTCTTTCTTTCTCCCTGAGTGACATGAGAATTGAGGCTAGATTGAGAGCAATTCTCTTCCTTCAGTAAGAACATATGCTGTAACAAAACACTGAAGAAAACCAACTGGTTGAAGAAAGAGTTTGTTCCAGCTTACAGCTCCCAGGTCACAGTCTAACATCAAGAGATGTCAGGGAAAGAACTCTGGGCAGGAATCTGGAGGTGGGAGCTGAAGCAGATACCATGGAGTAATGCTATTTACTGACTTGCCTCTCAGGACTGTGCTCAACCCTCTTTCTTATACAACACAGGACTACCTACGTAGGGGTGGCACCACCCACAGTGAGCTGGGCCTTCAAAGGTCATTCAACAATCAAGAGAAAACCTCAGAGAAATGACCACAGACCAGTCTGTTATAGGAAATGCCCCAATTGAAGTTTCTTCTACCCAGGTGTGTCAAGATTATAACTGAAGCTGTGGAGCACAGCTTTCTTGATATATTTCACAGTGATTGCTGTGCCACTGGACTTGACAGAAACAGGCAAGAGCCATTCTTGGATCTTCAGCCTGAAAACCTTGTAGAATTCCTGAATGGAAAGTCAAAAAATATGTGATAATCCTCTTGGGACTGAAGTCTCAGGAGTTTGTCACTACCACCCCCAGCCTATCGCAGGTCTCCAGGTGTTCCCCAAAGTGTTTAAGTGTCACTATCATTTTATGAATCCAGCTTCTCTGGTTTATAATAGGCAGATATTCTTTTTTCTTTTTCTTTCTTTCCTTCCTTCCTTCCTTCCTTCCTTCCTTCCTTCCTTCCTTCCTTCCTTCCTTCTCTCTCTCTCTCTCTCTCTCTTTCTTTCTTTCTTTCTTCTTTCTTTCTTATTTCTTTTTTTGAGACAGGGTTCCCCTGTAGCTCCAGCTGGCCTGGAACTCACTGTGTAGGCCAGGCTGGCCTCAAATTCACAAAGATTCTCCTGTCTCTGCCTCCCAAGTGCTGGGATTAAATGTGTGCACCACCATGCCTGCCTCCAACTATATTCTTTAAAGTTCACTTTTCCCTGAGTCCAAGTGAGCAGTTTTCCCTGCAACCTGGATTTACTTATGGGTCCAAGAGATGGTCTTCATTTTTCACTGTGTCCTTTTCTTATTATAGGGGCAAGAGTGACCAGGTCCTTCATGTATTTGATGTAAAATCAAATACTCTGTGTCAGATTTATCTATAAAACACATCCTTCCATGTTTCTATGACCACTTGCTCTTTTTCCTAATCCCACTAATTCTGTTTCTCAGAATTCCAGGAAACTTTCCACATTCAGCTCATATGACTCCTTCATAAGATTTTTCCCAAAAATATCAGCATCATTATTCCACTTGCATGTTAGTATTTCAGTGGGAACCATTGTAGATACACTTTGATGAATTAGTGAAGAAGCTAATCAAGATTAATGTCCTAATTCTTAAAGGTTTGTAAGGTAGTAAACAAATTAATGGGCTAATCTACTAAATCTTCTTGGCTAAGTATTGATGGCTTTGTCCTAGTTAGGTAAAATTTTTATTTCTTCACAGAAGCAAGATCATAAATTAAGCTATAGCCATATTTTTTATCAACTGACACCAGGTACAAATTTTTTCTCCAGCCCTTACTGACTCACTACATATTGGGCTTTTCCCACATCAAACTGAAACAGGGATTGGGCAACAAATATTTACAAATTGAAAACTCATGGCTTTAGTCCAACAAAAAGCCTTACGTATAAAATCTTTACCACAATTTCCATTTTTGACAAAGTGTATGTGGGATATTAAATGTGCCCCTCTGAAAAACCAGATACAATTACATATAGCTGTTATATATGATTTTTCATCTCTTGTTTATTGGTATTTTCTAAATTTTATATGATGGATAAGTAAGCCTTTTTGAAGAGAATAGTAGAAATTAATATTTTTAAAATACGGTTTGTAAAATTATTATAGAATTTAAGTATCATTTGGTTTCTATTTTTTAAGCCAATTTGGATTTTTTCAGTTGAGAGAGTTGAGACATAGAGAAAAGCAGTCTTTCTGGATGTTTCTCCTTCCAGATTCTGCCTGTCAGAGGCAAAACACTCATTAGAGACTTTGCTCAAGGATGCAGGGGCTTTTTGGTTCTGCTGCAGCACACCTGAAGCCCTTTAGCAGTTGTGAAGTTCTTCTAGTATATCCATGATAACCAGGAGAAAGATGAGGAAGGAGGTCTGTGGGAAATATGATGGTTTCTACTGCCACTTGAAAAAAACCTATGTCTGTCATTATTTTTACTCCTGGCATTATTATTTCATACCTCTGGTGTTATTTTAGTTAATATGTACCATATTGTCGCAATATAGGTGTTGTTTCCATTTTAAAGAAGAAAAGAGGATGACCTACAATAGATACTCAATAAATATAGTTTAATCACAGACCTGAGTGAATTTTTAGCATTCATGAGCCATATTTTAGTGTTTACTAGTGACCTTTCTAATAACTCAGCTAATTCACAGTTAAAATTCAACACTAACCAGATGAACATTTAAAGTCCAGACCTCTAAGTGGACAGAAATAAGAAAAAATGATCAAGGTTAATCCATTTGTCTTTCTTGGCTTTCTTGTTCTGTTTACAGTACATCAAACTGTTAAGAAAATGATTCATTGGACTGAATATATAGCTAAACCATCAGGAGCACAAGCTGCTTTTGCAGAGAATTAGGCTTAATTCCCAGCATTCACGTGGCAGCTAACAACATTCTATAACTTATAACTCCAATTCCAGGTGATCCAGACCACTGCTCTGGTCTCTGTGGCATTGCAGGTATTGGTGCACTTATACTCATGCAGACAAAACATTCATATGCAAAAATAAAAATGTTTAAATTAAATTTAAATTTATTCAAGCATTATGTGCCTATTTTATGTAACTTCTTTCTACCATGTACTAACCTTTGACCACCCAGCTTAAGACTCAAAAGCAAAAATAGCTTTTTTATTTTGCTCTTTCATAAAAATTATAACTGGATTAGGGCACTGTTGGACTGAGAGGATGAGGTGACTACGTCTGAGAAATTAATGATTCTCTTAGACATAAGCACTCGAACACAGAGCTGTGCTCAAGGGTGCTCCTGAAGTCCAGATTTCTGTTAGAACAAGACCCTCTGTTCTCTGTTACCCAGTCTTATTGTGCAAAGCAATTTTGTCATGCTTTTAATGACTCTCTGTACATTCCCCTACTGCTTGGATTTGTAATCCACTCTTGCTAGATTTTTTAATCTCTTAAATTTTTACCTTTCTTGCCAGTTTTTCATTGTACTTAACAGAAACTAACACTGACTTTTTTTTTTTTGTCTTTTTGAGACTGGGTCTCCCTGTAGCCCCAGCTGTCCTGGAACTCACTATATAGACCAGGCTGGCCTTGAACTCACAGAGATCCACCTGCCTCTGCCTCCCAAGTGCTGGGATTAAAGGTGTGTGCCACCACGCCCAGCCCACACTGACTTATTTTAAAAGGAAAATTTTTCTGAGAGGATTTTGGTTAGCTCACAGATTTATGGAGAAAGAAACTCAGAGACAGATGAGAGCAAGGATTTGGGGCACATGCCATAAACATGTTAGGAAAGGAAGACATGCATGCAGAGCACGTTCCTTCTGTGCTACCTCCGGCTTTGCTGACCAGGAAGGTAGAGACTGTTCTGGCCATTGTTCAACACAAGGGTGAATTCCCATTGTCCTTACCTCTTTCTGTCACTTTTTATCCTTCCAAAGTCATGAATCTGCTGGAGCTGTGAGGAAAGCTAGAAACAGACTGCATCATCTTGTATCATTGAAGGTAAATTCTGTGTCTGATCAGAACTCAGTAAGCATACACTTTCCCAAACATAAGACAAAGGTTGAAATAATTGAAATCCCACCATCTTTAATGAAAAGCAAATAAGTTCTTGTATTTTTTCAGTATAGTTTTATGTCCTCTTTTTTTCTAGTCACTGCATTTAGAGAAACATTGTATCTAATTTATGACTGTGACTAAATTTCACTCAACCAAAAATTACATTCTGAAGGTTCTAAACTACTTATGCAAGTTTAAATGTTTTTTAAGGAAAAATTTTGTTAACTTCATAGATCTTTCTGATGGGTGAGCAGGAGCCGGAAATTTCTGGAGTATTTCTGGAGTCTGGAAGCATCTAACATTTGTCAAGATCTTGGGATTTTGATAATTGCCTTCTTATTTTAAGAATAAAATATTTCTCTTATAAATAAAATATTTCTGAATCTGAATAACTTTTCCTTCTGTAGTATTTTTGAGCAATGGCTCCGAAGACACCGTCCACTTCTGGAAGTTTACCCAGAAGCCAATGCACCCATTGGGCATAACAGGGAATCCTATATGGTGCCTTTCATACCACTCTACAGGAATGGTGATTTCTTCGTTTCGTCCAAAGATCTGGGCTATGACTACAGCTACCTGCAAGAGCCAGGTAAGGTTTGATTTCTTTCAGATGAGCTTCTGTGTCTGGTGACCAATTTCTCTGGGGATAGTAAAAAATGAACCTATGCGTATAAAATGTTTTCCCAAAATTCTTTAAGTGAGAATCTATATTACAGCCGTACACATCTGTATTGGTTATTTTCTGTTGTTGTAGTAAATTACCTTGACCAGGGCAACTCAGTGAAGAAGAATTTATTGGGCTTATGGCTCTGGAGTCCATCACGGAGAGGTGACATAGCAGGATGACTATGAGCAGGGGCTGAAGAAGAAAGCTGAGTGCTCAAATCTTCAAGCACCTGCAGGAATCAGAAAAGGTGAAGCTGCCAGTGGGAGTGAAACATCCCAGTGAGATGGGACTATGAGCTCTCAAAGTCCACGCCTAGTGACAGTAAGGCCACACCTCCTAAATGTTCCACCCCTAGTGACAGTAAGGCCACACCTCCTAAATGTTCCACCCCTAGGGTCAGTAAGGCCACACCTCCTAAATGTTCCACCCCTAGTGACAGTAAGGCCACACCTCCTAAATGTTCCATCCCTAGTGACAGTAAGGCCACACCTCCTAAATGTTCCACCCCTAGGGTCAGTAAGGCCACACCTCCTAAATGTTCCACCCCTAGTAACAGTAAGGCCACACCTCCTACATGTTCCCTGGCCCTCTCCAAGCAGTACCACCAACTGACCAAATGCTCAAGTACTTGGAGTCTCTAGGGAACAATCTCATTCAAACCACCCCAACATCATATACATCTCCAACTTATTATCACATGAAAAAAGTTCTAAGGATCTTCTTTTCATTTGCTCTAGGACATTTTATATTGGGAAACTGTTGTAGAGTACTAGGATTGGGAGTCTTTTGAGCCATAATTCTATCAGCTAACTATTGTTGGGATATTGAGTTTTTGAATCACAATCTGTTCATTTAATGTTTTTAGATAAGAATAATTCAATAATTGTGAACTATATTAAAGAGCTCATACAGGGCACAAATTACTCAGTTTGGGTTTTACCAACTGGGAGATTCTTGGTAGTGTTATCAAGAAAACTAAAAGAAACTTTGATTTCAATTCTAATTAATAATGAGCTTCATTATAGCTATTTGAATATTAATCACTATGCCTATGGTTAAGAGTACAATATAAAGCCTCAGGACTCAAGATAGATCTGGGTTGTAATCTTCCTAAACAGAACTATGTTCATACCATATGAGGACCCTCCGTATATTCTAGTAAACCCATTTGTTGCTATGACAAATGCCCAAGAAAAACATCTTAAAGGAAGAAAAATTATTTTTCTCATGAATTCAGAACTTTCAGCTCGTGGTCAACTGGCTCCATTGATTTGTGTCTGAAGCAAGATAGGAATATACTGAGAGGAGGAACACGTGACAGAGGTTTCTCACCAACAAGAAGAAGAGGGAGCTATACCAAAGACACATCCTTAAAAGGCAAGCTTGGAACGATTTAATGCCTCGAACCAGGTCCCACCTCCTGCTGATGCTCTCATATTAGGAGTCCATCTGTAGATGGTCCAATCCCTTCCCAAAGCCAACAAGCGAGCAACTAAGCCTTTTAAACAAGACTGTTTAGAGATACACTTTATATTCAAACTACAACACATATATATGTTAAATAGGTACTATTTTCCATACCACCAGGTGAGAACATTCATCTGAACAGAAAGTGATTTCAAAAATGTTAAAGACCACTATGTGGAGGAACTGGTTTTGACACTAGGTTGTCCTCTGCTTAGCACACTATGCTTTAATGTAACGTATGAAGGCCAGAAGTCCAAAACAGTAAAAGAGCACATGGTCTATGAGTAAAAGACAGTCAACAACGACTAATATTTCAGTATATTTATGAATAGCTCATACAAAGAATAAGTTAACTGATAAGGAAAAATTGACAAATGAGTGAAATGTACTGTCATAGCTCTCCTGATTAACTTTGTCTACACTGACCTCTACTCCAAACCAATGCTGAAGTCAAAAAATACTACAAAATGTATAAAGACTCACCAGCAAAATCCTATAGAGGCACAGATAGAACCAGAAGTGATTTATGGATAGTTCAACTTTGACAATGTTTTAAACAATTATTAGGCAGATGCCAGATAGAAAAGGGGAAGCAAACTAAAAGCAAAGGAAGAAAAAGCAAAGATGTATGCTATATATATGGAGTGCTGAATTCTTATACTTGAGTGATATTAACAAAGATAATGGCACCAAAAAAGTGGAGGAGTCATCGCAGAAGAGTCAACATAGAGTGAATGATTTTTATGCCTGGCATTTTTCTGGGTGTGCTATGGTGTATTATGTAGTTATTATTTTTACTCTACAAAGTAGATGCAGTTACTTATTTCCCAAGTCATGTATGAGAAAACAGTATTTTAAAGAACATAAATTGCCACAGAGTTTTTGCTAACTATATACAATAATAGAACCCTTTATGAGGTTAGCAGAACTATCATGAGAGCCCACGTTTGTCTATCTTGACCTGTGTGTGGGGGACCATTGATAATAGATAGTGTTTGGCTGAGCTACTTTACTTTATTTTCAGACCATGGTCAATGGAAGGATTATCAATATGACTGACACAGGAGATTAGTATTTCCTTGTTTGTTTTTGTTTTGTTTTTAAAAATGTATTTATTTATTCATTTATTATTTATTTATATTTTATGTGTATGTTATGCCTTCATGGATATAAGTGCACCCATGTTGTGTAATGCCTGCAGAAGCCAGAAGAAGGGGTCAGATCCCCTGAAGCTGGAGTTATTAATGGTTATTAGCAGTAATGTGGGTGCTGAGATTCGAACCTGGGTCTCTTGCAAGAGCAACCAGTGCTCTTAATCACTGAGCAATCTGTCCAGCCCCATGGGTTATATTTTTGTTTGTTACTTTTATTATTTTTTTTTGTTTTGTTTTGTTTGTTTGTTTTTGAGGCAGGATCTCACTATGTAGCCCTAGATGGCCTGGAACTTACTATGTAGGTCACACTGGACTCAAACTCACAGAGATCTTCCTACCTCTGCTTCCTGAGTGCTGAAACTAAAATCTTGTGCTAACTCACTGGGCCAAGATGAGTGTTTTCAAAATATCTATATCAACTATATCAGAGAACAGAGAATTTTGCAAACATAGGTGATGAGGTATGAAGAGCTCCCTATAAGTCAAAAAGATGGATAGTGTGCTATGACACCACACTTGCAATTCCAGCACTCTGTTGTTGGATGAAGAGTTAAAAATCAACTTGGATGAGAGAGAAGGAGGAGGAAGAGGAGGAAGCCAAGGACAGAGAGAAGGGAGAGGAGGGCATATGCCCAGGAGTGGTATGGCTGGATCATATAGTAGAGCAATTTCAAGCTTTTTTCTGCATTTGCACACTGACTTCCATAGTGGCTGCACCAGTTTGTACTCCTACCTGCAGTCAACAAGACTTTTCTTTCTCTGCATCCTCACCAGCATTTGCTGTTGTTTGCTTTTGGATCTTTGCCATTCTGAGAGGGGTAAGATGAAATTTCAAAGTGGTTTTAATCTGAATTTCCCTGATAACTAAAGATGTTGAGCATTTTAAAAATATTTCTCAGCCACTTGTTTCATCTTTAGAGAGTTCCCTGTTGAGCTACTTGGCAGTTTTTTGTGTATTCTAGATACTAACCTTCTATCAGAGTTATGACTGGTAAAGATGATTTCCCATTTTGTAGGTTGCCTCTTCATTGAAATGTTGGTGTCCTTTGATGTGCAGAAGCCTTTCGGTTTCATGAGGTCCCATTTGTCAATTGTTGGATTTATTCCTTGCACTGTAGGAGTCCTGTTCATAAAGTCCTTTCCTGTGCTTTTAAGTTCCACTGCATTCCCTACTTTCCCCTCTATTTGATTAGGGTAGTGCATCTTATGTTGAAGTCCTTGATTCACTTGGAGTTGAGTTTTGTGTGTGGTGAGGGATAGGGATCTAGTTTCATTCTTCTATGTGCCCTTACTCAGTTTGACCAGAACCGTATGCTAAATATGATGTCTTTTCTCCAGTGTGTATTTTTTGCTCCTTTGTCAAAAATCAGGTGACGGTAAATGTGTGGTTTTAAATCTGGATCACAGTTCTACTCTGCTGATCAATTTGTATATTTTTATGTGAGTACCATAATGTTTTTATTACTATACCTGTAGTACAATTTGAGATCAGGATTGGTAAGGCCTCCAGAAGTTCTTTTATTGTTCAGGATTATATAGGTTCTCTTGAGTTTTTGTGTTTCCATATAAAATTTACATGTTTTTACTTCTGTGAAGAATTGTGTTGGACTGCATTGGATCTGTAGACTGCTTTTGGCAGGATGGACATCTTCACAATATTAATCCTGCTGATCCATGATCATGGAAGGTCTTTCCATCTTCTGGTATCTTCTTCAATTTGTTTCTTCAGTGTCTTAAGGATTTGTGTGTGTGTGTGTGTGTGTGTGTGTGTGTGTGTGTGTGTGTATGTGTGTGTGTGTGTTTGTGTGTGTAAAGGTCTTTTACTTTCTTTGTTACGTTTATTTCAAGATATTTTATGAATTTTGAGGCTGTCATGAATGAAATCATCTCTCAGATTTCTTTCTCTTTATGCTTGTTACTGGTATATAGGAAGGCTACTGATTAGGGGTGTTAATTTTATATCCTGCTGTTTTACTGAATGTATTTGTCATCCCTAGGTGTTTTCTGGTGGAGTCTTTAGGATCCCTTATGCATAGAATTATATCATCTGCAAATAAAAGTAGCGTAACTTCTTTCCAATTTGCATCCCATTTTATCCTCTTCATTTGCTTTATTGCTCTATCTAAAACTTTAAGTGAAATAAGAATGCAGAGAGTGGACATCCTGTCTTGTTCCTGACTTTAAGGGGAATGTTTTCAGTTTTCCTCAAACTTAGTATGATGTTGGTTGTGGGTTTGTGGTATATTGCCTTTATTATGCTGAGCTATGTCTCCTGTCTGCCTAGGTTCTCTATGACTTTTA